TATATATATATAAATTAAAAAATAACGAAACAAAAAAAAAAAGAAGAAAAAAAATTGGATTTTCTTCCTCCGTCAAATTCACGCCATCTTCTTCACCCATCTTCTTTTCCGACATAGCCATCTTCTTCTCCGACGTTGCCCAGCGACCGCCGCCGTCTTGAGTTTAGATCTTCTCCAAAGTCGCCGCCAATTCGAGGTCCGGCGAGCTCCACCACTTCTCCGACGAATAGCAAAGCCCGCCGCAAAATCCTCTCAAAATCGTTCTGCTGCCGCTGCAGCCGCCGCTGAGTGAGAGTTGAGTGGGTGAGGCGTGTGTGAACTGAGAAATTAAAACGCTTATCGTGCGTTGCTGTAATTTTTTTTTCAAATTGGGGAAGAGGGCTAAATTGAATGTCTTAGGGACTGAATTGAAAATTTTGAAAATTTCATTTCAGTCATAAAATTCTAGAGGCTGGACATATTTATCTGGAGGGTTTTTTTGTCTTTTCGCGGGCGGTCAACGGACAAAAATCAAAAAGGGTCGATTGTGCTTGATTGAACACTTGTTAGGGGGGTTTTGGTGACTTATTTTTTCCCAGGGGGTTTTTTGGCCTTTAGAAATTACACAGGGGGGGTTTTTGCATTTAACTCAATTAGAGTCTACTGAGTGAGCCAAAGAGCCAATAAAAGAAAAATTAATAATAAATTTGGAAAATGACTTTTTGTGACATGAGCTTGCAATATTATTGGTATACAACTTAATTCCACTTTGCACCCTTGAAATATAATATTTTCGCACTTTGAATGCTTGAAAAATAATTATAGCACTTTGCAACCTCGAAACATAATAAATCAATCACAATGCACCCTGAATTGATTATTTAAAACTTAACAAAGGTAATTTCAATTTTTTGTTTATTTATTTACTTTTATTTTCAAGTGAAAAGTAAAAAAAATAAATAGTTATTTTTTTATACCACCAATTTAAATTCGAGCATACAAAAAAAAAATCACAACGAATTACGGAGGAAAACTAGAATTTATTACAAAAAAAAATAATTAAATTTTCTCACTAAATTATTCGATTGATAGATCTTATACTGTGATTAGTGAAAATATTTGAAAGAAAATATAATTTTCAAATAACTCGATAACAAAATAGCTGAAGGACTTTTGTTCGTTTTGTTTTTTGTAAAATATTCTTTTGTGATTTGCAATTTCTTACAAAAATAAAATAAAAATATCGAAACAAAATAACTAGAACACACACACACACACACACACACACACACATATATATATATATATATATATATATATATATATATATATATATATATATATTTGCAATTCTAGTTTTTTGATAAATATAATGATTTGACATTTAATATCCTAAACAAATACCACTAAAAATATTTATTTGTGATGCATTATGCATGATTTATTGTTTTTTCTTTTAATCAACATTTTTTTGTGTTTCAACAGCGCTAAGTGCTATAAATATTTTTTGAGGGTGCAAAATGACAAAAAACTATCTTTGGAGGATGCAAAGTGAAATTAAGCGAATTTGTAAATTATTGTAGCGTCACATAGGCTTATAAATTTATAATTCCCCAAAGACTTCCATAAAGCTTGACCGTCAACGCCCTCCTACTTGTACTTTAATTAATTTTTAAATTATAATTAAACAAATATTTTGGGTCCCGCCAAAGTCTTCTTTTACTTCCTTTTTCTTTTCCCGCTCTTCCCTCATTCGTCAGTTGCCAGTGTCACTTTCTCTCTCTAGAAACAAAAATGTACGGATATCAGTGGGGGGGAGGAGGCGGCGATTCGGGATCGGAGTTGCCTCCAACACTTGATCGGACCGAGAAGGCGGCGGTGGAAGCTCGGGCCGAGCTTGTGGCGAGAGGAGAAAACGTGTCGGCTTGGAAAGTGTCGCAGGCGGCGCTGCTGGATCTTCAAGTCAGTTCGTGGGAATTTTTGGGGTTTTCGATGCAACAAGTTCCCACGCTCAGGAGGATTATGGATATTGAAGGAAGGGTAAACAATTTTTCTTAATTGTTTCGTTATTTTATTTGTGATGTTATTTACTTTTCCTGTTTGGATCCGAGAAAAATTACTGTGTACGGAAGCTGTATACTTCCTTCATCCTCCATTTCAAATTCATTTTCGTTTATGATATATCACTAAATTGCATTTCCCACTAATTATCTCTCCGTTAATTTCTTATTTTTTTCCGTTTGTGAGAATCCATGTTTTTAATATTTTATGAGTAATGATAAAATTGGAAAACCAGTAATTAATCTAGAAATTCTGAAGTGATATATAAAACATTTTTTTTTTAATTTTTCCGAAAATCGACATTTAATTTGAAATGGAGGGAGTAATAGTTTACAAATTTCAAATGTATGATGAATTTTTCAAGCTGGAACTCGTGAGAACCCTTGGAGTGAAATGGGGCGAGTTAACATGGTGAATCATTACTTTATGTTTTTGTTGAGGATATAGTTTTTTGCATTTGGGGTGCTCAGTTGGAGAAGAAGGAAATTAGAAATAACTGGGGATCATGAATAGTTAATTAAATTACCGGAAAGTTTAGTTGCATTGAGCTTTGATTTATGAATAGTATTTAAAGAAGTAAACATGAGAAAATGCAGTTGTTGAAAAAGTCAATCTTTTGAAATGTTTCACACACAAAGAACTCATTAATACACAGAGGAATGTTTCCTATACGTGAGGGAGGAGTTCGATGAAATTCTTTCCTCTCAATAGGTGCTTAATAAGTGCGCTACAGACCAGCATTTTCTATGTTGGTGTAAATATTTCCTGGCAGCGTACCAAAAGTGTTCTGTTCTATTGAGTTTTCTGAATTTATAGTGTTTCCTTTTGTTTTCTCCAGGTTAATTTATTTATCCACTGCTTTGTTCGGGTTCAAAGTATAACATCATTATACAATTTGGAGCTGGCAATATGTGAGAGCGAGGGTATTCAGCGTTTTGAAGAGCTAGAGTTGGGACCTTTGTTGCAGCATCCACTAGTCCGGCGTTATTTTTCTGTTGGATCTGATGTCAAAGAAGTGTTCAGAATAACAACCGAAACAGTTATTTCTTACCTCAGTTTTCTCATTTGGAAACGTAAAAGGATAACTCCTGAGGCTTTATTGGATTTTATTTCCAAGGAGAAGAAGCAAGAAAAAGAAACCCTTTGTCTACGCATACAAAATATATGGTATGCGTTTTTTACTCGAGTCAATATCATGAAGTAATCGTATTACAGAGTGAACTACCTCATCAAGTCATTTAATAATACCACCACATGATATTCTATTGAAGTAAGTTGGAATTTATAGATGACAGCGAACATATGATGTTCTTCATATCTGGTTCCTGCAGATGTTGAGGTAAACGATCGGAGGCAAAAACTCTATAATTGTCCTCTTCTTTTTTTTTTGGATTGTGATAGCAACCATTCTTTATCTGCGCTTGATATTGTATTGTTAATTGCAGTATTGCTATATATACACCTACATGTTATGACTTGCATAATGGCTGCACTGGCTTTTCACTTGAGTGGGTACTGAGTATAGAACCTAGTTTTTAGTACCCACTAATGCATACCATATATAGAAGTTTAGTTTTATTAAACAACCCCCTCCCTCTTCTTATCTGTTTATATGACGGCACACAGCCGATGCTTCTTTTTGCCTTAAGTAATTGAAGCTTTGTCTAACAGGTTGTATATCAGACATATGAGGGATGCTAAGCGATCTGAAGATTCCTTATTAAAGAAATGTCGTGACGGCAAAGAACATGCTATCAATAATAAAGATAGGGATGATGATGAAAATGAAGACAGTAAGGATGTGCCGATTTCTAGCAAGACCTCATCGAAGAACATGGAGACCGATAAAAACAATGCACAGTGTTCTGATCCAACAACAGCTGAAGAAGATGAACGAGTCAGTTCTTTATCTTCTCGTGGCAACATTAGTATCAATGACAATAACGTGACTGCAAAAAAATCCAAACGTATGCAGTGCACCGTCACATCATTCCACAAGACGCCTATTACAATGCCTGATGGACGCGAGATTCCACTCGAATTTTTCGGTGACGGTATGGACTCAGGGCTCAGATATATGAATGACGTTGATCGTTTTACGAGGATGTTCATAAAGATCTGGACAGATACATGTAGGGACAAGAATGTTGATGAGGTACACTGACACTCTTTCATTATATTAAACAGCAATCTAATGATCTATAATATTTGACATTCGTTAGATTCTTATTTAAAACTCTTACAAAAAATATATTACCAATAATATTTGGCCATTTGAAATGAAATCTAATACAATTCCACCTCTACCAACTCATTTCCAGGAAGAAATGGAAGTTAAGTAAGGATAATATATCAATAAACTGACTTTTTTTAAGTCAGTTATTATATTTCAGTTATTCCCTGTGTTTAGGAGCCATAAACTGACTTTTATTAAGGCAGTTATTAGATTTCAGTTATTCCTTATGTTTGGAGATTAGTTTTGTGTTAGTTTAGTATAAATAGTTAGTATTTGTTCAGTTTTTAGGACATTGGAATAAATAACTTGTATGAATTTCTGGAGCCTTGTCCTCCCCATACGGACAAATATATATGGTATATTATTGTGTTTAAGATTCTTGCACATAATCTGCCATTGTTATTTATTATTCTCTTGGATTGTTCTCGATTCCTATCAATCCATCTTTATCACCTCATATATGTGTACATCACGAGCGTCCAACAATTATTAGAGAAGTATAGTTGGCTAGCTTGTTGCATTATGTTGTTAATATCTTTGAGCTTCTTAGTCAGTCACTAGCACACACTATTATTAAATGTTATTGCTGCAAAATTTTGTATATTTGACTGGTCATTCTTGTGTATGTCAGTCCTTTTAAGGCCAGTGTTTGTTTATTTCCTGAATCTTTGCATTGTAAAAGATCTTACTCTAGAGTGCAGTAATCTTTCTTTGTCTTATTCCGCAAAGTGGTTGTTCTTTATGTACATATGTTTGATATCTTTCTCCCTCTCGCTCTGATCTTCTGCTGCATCCGATGCTGAACCTCAACTGTTTTTTTTCTTAAACTCTAGGTTTTCAGGCAAATGTTTGATTATTATGCGAAGGAAAAGAACAAGAAGAAGACGAAGGGGATTTTAAAAAAGAATTCAGAGTTTTCAAAGTACCCGTTTGTTGGATTGCTAAATGTTGCTGTAAGTTGAGTGTCTGAAATTTCTGTTTCATACTCGTTCCATTTGACATTGTTAATGCTTCCTTAAATGCGGTAGAAAGAGCAAAATGTTCTATAATAGTTAATGTTTTGCCTGTGTAAAATGACAAGATAATAGAATAATGTTATGTGTTAATAATTCCAATGGACTTGTATTTGTACATATGACAAAAGCTATAAAAAAGGAAATAAATCACCTAAACAAATCCTGTAAATCCGTTTTACAATTCAGTGGCTAGTTGATTCCTGTAATCATCTACATCTATTGGAAGATCAACTACTCCCCTCAAGTTTGAGCATAGATGTTAATCATGCCCAACTTGTAACAAGTTACTCAACTCGAGATCCATTCAAGGCCTTTGTGAAATGATCACCTAGTTGGTCTCTCATTTTTACATATCCTACAGATATCAACTTTTATTGATACTTGTCAGACAAAGTGACAATCCACCTTAATGTCTTTAGTTCTTGTGACTGGGTCTGTTTGGAGATGAACAAGGTGATGAAGAGGAAGGTTTGCTGGTTAAGAACTTTAAATCGACAAACTGAATCGTGGCTGACTTAGCTCAGTTTCTTCCACTATTTGGGCAGTATATTTAATTTTCTTATTTCTATAAACAAACAATGTGATATTCTTTCCTCGGTCGTTTGTCCCAATTTTTCCTTTTATGGCTGCTGGCTCCTATGCCTAACCCTCTGCATATCCTTTAGTGGATTTTGGTCCCATTTAAGTTTTAATGAAATACTCTTTCCTTGCCTTCTCTTCCTTCTCTACAGATCTAAGATCTTCATCATAGTTTTTTATTCATATTTTAGATGCCATTTGTACAAATTAACTTGGTTCCCACTGTTTCATGATATGAACAACAATTTTGTGCAGGTTACATCTATTAAATATGGGCTGTGGGAAAGTGTGTATGGAGCTTCTCAAGTTTCCAGCCTACAAGGGGTAGAAAACACAACACCAGAGGCTGAGGCTGCTGAGGAGGATTTCTCTATCGGTCAGAATGGTGAGTTACATCATGCATATCTTCAATAATCACACAAGGATGAACTGTGGTAATTTGCTACTTCTGTTGCGGATTGCTGTGCTTTAATGCCCCCCACCCCCTGTCTCCCTATGTCTTAACATATAAAACACATCTTTCTTGCATAGCTACCTACATATTAGTTGGTATACTGAATTAGTTCTTCCTTGAAGTTTGCGGTACACATTTGAGGCTATTGTTTTCTATTAATAGATCTGAATGCATACCCATCACTATTTTGTTTTTGTTTGTTACCTAGGTGTTTTTGTGGAAGATATATTGAAGAACATTTCTGCACACTTGGAGACTGTTGATGATTTTCCAGACAATGAAAATCCTGCTCTTCAAAAATTGATATTCTTTCGCAAGCTTTGCAAGTGTGAGTGTTGGCTAGCTGAACATTTTTCTGTTAAGGACTTCAAATCCCTTGGTCTTGGGGATTTTTGTACGTTTTTAGCAAAACATGTAACCCAACTACCTCATGCATGTCAGAAATACTTATTGACTGATGGCACTAATGGGAAGGCTTCTTTCGAAGCCTGCATGAGCCAACATCATTTGGATATATTCTTATCACAAGCTTCAGCTAGCTTAAGCGAAAATGAGTATTTAAGCAAGCAGAAAGTATCTGAGTTGCTTATGATGCAGTTCCCTTCAGTCTGTTTTACTCTATTGGGAAATGGTTCTGAACAAAATATTATGGACATCCTAAGAGAGAGCAAAACCGGCACAAGCTTTTGCAGCGTCTTATTTTCTGCAACTTTAACTGCCTCTCAAGAAGAGAAATATTTCTCTGATTCTCATCTAACTGCCAAAGATGCTGATACAACCCATGCACTTGAAGTCTTACGTAATGCTCCAATGTTGATAGACCTAAATTCGTGGTCATTTTGGGACTTAAAGTTTGCTCCTTCTCTAGGTCCACTAGTAAACTGGTTATTGAACGAGGTCAAGACAAACGAGCTTCTGTGTTTGATAACTAAAGGTGGGAAAGTTATGCGTCTTGATCATTCTGCTACTGTGGAGTCATTCTTAGAAGTTTTTGTTGAAGGATCCTCCTTCCAAACAGCAGTGAAGCTTTTGTCATTGCTTGCGCTGTATGGGGGTGAACACAAAGTTCCCACTTCTCTTTTGAAATGCCGTACAAAGAAAGCTTTAGAAACTCTAGTTAAGAGTTCTAACAACTGGGAAGCTGATTTTGGTAATAAATATATTCTCAATGACCTAAAGAAAAGCAAAAGTGAATTTAACAAAGCAATTCCTCTTGTATCAAGATTTATCCTCGAGTGTCTTGGTTATCTACCTGAGGAATTCCGTACCTTTGCTGCAAACTTATTGCTTCCAGGGTTTCGAGCTATTGCACCTGATGCTTCTTCAGCAATTTTGGCTGAATGCAAACACAAAGAAGACCGTTTGATGCTTCATGAATTAGGATCATCACTAGGTATACTTGAGTGGATCGGGGATTGCAGTAACTTTTGTTTGTCCCCATTCAATGAGTCATCTGAATTTCATAGAGAGAAGGATATGTCATGCAGTTTTACTTGTTCCGAAGATGAAGTTATATTATCCGTTGAGGCAGACTTGCATAATGTAGAGTTTAAGCAAGACCAAGCTATGGCCAATAGAGTTCCGGTTTCTGGTTATAGTTCCAGTAGTGACTGCACTCAGCAATTTGTTGGGCTACAGAGAATTGTAATTGAGTCTATTAGGCGTGAAGAATTTGGTCTGGACCCAAATAATTCGGCCTCAGAAAGTAGCATTCTACAGAAGCAACATGCTCGCTTAGGTAGAGCACTTCATTGTCTTTCACAAGAGTTATATTCTCAAGACTCACATTTTCTTCTCGAGCTTGTAAGTTTGCAACCCTTCATTTCCTTCCCTTGCTGATGCTATCGTTTCTTCTGCCTGTTTTTGTATTTATTGAGGCGATTGCAAAACTTATACGACATTACCATTTTCATATCTCTACAGGTTCAGAATGCTGATGATAATGTTTACCCAAGAAATGTGGAACCAACTCTAGTTTTCATTTTTCAAGTGGAAGGCATTGTTGTTCTGAATAATGAAGAAGGTTTTTCAACTGAGAACATCAGAGCGCTTTGTGATGTTGGAAATTCAACAAAGAAGGGATCTAATGCTGGTTACATTGGGAAGAAAGGGATCGGCTTTAAATCGGTTTTCCGGGTATGTCAAAAACACACTACCTACCAGACTTTTGTTTTTCTTGTCTTTTCTTAGTTTTCATCAATATTTTTATTTGTTTATACAACTGGGCCCTGAGCTTAGGACCATTATAGAGTATAGTACTTAAGTTTTACTTTATCTGATTTTTTGAGTTGGAATCCTTCTATATCCTTGTTTAAGAACCTCAAAATATCAGTCAGATGCCATTGCTCGAAATATCACCTCGCATATGACTTTTTCTGTTTTTCTACTACTCTCACGAGAATAACATTTTGTGCTATACTGCATCGAAATCTCATAACTATTGGAATAGATCGAGTATTCTTAATCTTTCCTCTCAAATAGTGATTTCTTTATTACATTCTTGCAAGTTGATATGATTCAAGTGTTTGTTTATTTTCTAACTCATTATTAAAGTTGTTAAACTCAGGGTTTCTTAAAACAGCTTCGGTATATTACTATTGTTCTTAGCAAATTCCTCTTTATTTTGAATTTCTTGTAGGTTACAGATGCTCCAGAAATTCATTCTAATGGATTTCATATCAAGTTTGATAAAAGTGAGGGCGAGATTGGTTTTGTTTTGCCAACAATAGTGCCTGCCTGTGATGTTGACTTGTTTAGCAATCTGGTAACCAAAGATACTGATCAAAATGATAGGCACTTTTGGAATACATGCATTGTACTTCCTTTTAGATCAAAGTTTACAGAAGCTTCTGCCACTGACAACATCGTTTCTATGTTTTCTGATCTTCATCCCTCTTTGCTACTTTTCCTTCATCGCCTTGAATGTATCATATTTAGAAACATGCTCACAAATTCATGTAACATCATGAGGAAAGAAGTTATTGGAGATGGTATTATAAATATTTCCTTCGGGAAGGAGAGATTGACGTGGTTTGTGGAATCTCGCAAGTTACAAACTGAGCTCACTGGCCAAATGACTGAAATCTCGATAGCATTTTCACTGGAGGAATCGGCTGATGGGAATTATATCCCAAAGTTGGAGCAACAGTGCGTTTTTGCATTTCTTCCACTACGGACATACGGTCTAAAATTTATCGTCCAAGGTGATTTTATACTTCCTTCTTCAAGAGAAGAAGTTGATGGAGATAGCCCATGGAATCAGTGGCTATTATCAGAGTTCCCAAGCTTGTTTATTAGTGCAGAGAAATCTTTCTGTAGCCTCCCTTGTTTTGAAAATAATCCAGGAAAAGGTGTTTCAGCTTTTATGAGCTTCGTTCCCCTCGTAGGAGAAGTGCATGGGTTTTTTGCTAGTCTCCCTCGGATTATCATATCTAAGTTATGTACATCAAACTGCCTGCTTTTAGAAGGAGACAACAACACATGGGTTCCTCCACATAAGGTTCTTAGAAGCTGGAATGAACAAGTTCGGACTCTTTTGCCGGATAGTTTGATTGCAGAACTCCTTGGCCTTGGATACTTGCATAAGGATACAGTTCTATCAGACTCTTTAGCAAGGGCACTTGGAATTGAGGAATATGGACCAAAAGTCTTGCTTCAGGTAATTTCTTCCTTGTGCCGTACAGATGGAGGCATCAAATCAATGGGCCTCACTTGGTTATCTTCTTTCCTTAGTGCCTTGTATGAAATGTCATTTCAAGATTCTAGGCAAAGTTCTGTAGATTTTGGGACTGACTCTGATGCTATAAATAGGCTCAGGAAAATTCCATTTATTCCTCTTTTGAATGGTAAATATGGGTCGATTAGTGAGGGTACAATTTGGTTGAACATTGATGCTATGAGCAATGAAATTGATAATGAGTATGGCCTTGAAGCTTTTCCAAATTTGTTTGCCAAACTTCGAATTGTTAACCCCGCCCTTTTCAGTTGTTCTACAGTTGAAAACTTATGTCAGATGCTTTACAAAATTGGCGTCCAACGTTTATCTGCCCATGAAATTGTAACGGTACATGTTTTGGCAGCTATTTCTGATGAAAAATCTATCAGCGAGGATAAGGGTTTAATGTGTGAGTACCTTTCTTACATAATGGTTCACTTGCAATCAAGTTGCCCCAAGTGTTCTGTTGAGCGGCAGCAGATAATCTCAGATGTTCGCAATAAAGCTCTTATTTTAACCAATCATGGCTACAAACGATCTGCTGAAGTGCCAATCCATTTCAATAAGAAGTTTGGTAATCCCATCGATGTAGAAAAGTTGATAAATGGCATTGACGTGAAATGGTCTGAGGTTGACATCGTTTATTTGGATTATTCAGTTCACAAATCCTCATCTGGGGGAATGTTGAAGTGGAGGGAATTTTTGAAAGAAGTAGGCGTCAGTGATTTTGTGCAAGCAACTCAAATTGAGAAGGAAGTTTGCAATATTTCCCAAGATTGGGAATCTCAAGAGTTAGTTGATTTGCTATCTCGAGTGTCCTCAAGTGGTGATCCGAAAAGGTGCAAGCAACTTTTGGAGGTTATTGATACGCTGTGGGATGATTATTTCGGTGATAAGGTTACTGCTCTTTGCAATATCAGTGGGACATTCGAACCTGTCAAGTCTTCTCTAGTAAGAATCCTAAATGATGTTAAGTGGGTAGCTTCAAGTGTGGATGATGAACTTCACTACCCTGAAGACTTGTTCCATGATTGTGAAGCAGTGCGCTCAATTATGGGTGATTGTGCACCATATGCTGTTCCAAAGGTTAGATCAATAATCTATCATGCACTTTTTTTTATATGCCTATGAACAAAATTAGGATCTTATTGTGTGGGTAATCATCATCTTCTGAACATTCAAAGTAATCAGTATAGTAGTAAATAAGTTCATAGAAAAATGTTCTGTAGTTCGAACAACTTGGTGGTTTGCTACTAACGTTAATTTCTTTCTTGTTTCTTTTGCAATGATGTCAATGCCTTTTTATATCACAGTTAGTAACCAATCTAAGGTCTATTGTACTTCTTAACATTGATATGATGTTAAATGTTGGTGTTCTTTGTAGCGATATCTGTTTATCTTCTCATCCCTTTGGGCATTTCATCCAACTGACATAGTTTTTCTGATTGAAACAGGTGCAAAACGAGAAGCTGCCAAATCATATTGGTTTCAAAACTTGTGTTACACTCAGTGACACTTTGTCAGTTCTTGAAGTTTGGAGGAGAGCTGAAACCCCTTTCAAAGCTAGGTATTGCTTGTCTTCTTATATCTTAATTGAAATGATGTTATGGTGGTAGTTGAACCTCAATCTCTCTCTGTAAATAATCGTTTCACGATTCTAGAGAAAAAAAAAAGATCATCTTTTGGCAAGACTACTTCGGGTTTCAGACATACTTCCCTAAGGCGGTGAACCTTATTTATTTCTTATTCACCTAAGGTTAAAGTTTTGCTGATATTGAGATTGTCCCTGTATCATTAAAAATGACAATTAGCCATTTGAATGATTCATTAGTGTATGATTCAATGGCAGCTTATCACAAATGTCCAAATTCTACACAATCATTTGGAACGGAATGACTACTAAAAATCAGGAGATTGTGGAGAACTTACGCAACGGAGCTTTCATATTTGTTCCATTTTCGTCTGCTTCTACTAGTGAACAAGTTGTACCTGGTATGCTCTTATCTCCTGAAGAAGTGTATTGGCAGGATCATACCGGTTCTGTGGAACAAATTGACTTTGATGCGGGCCATCAGCCTCTAACAAAAACGTTAAGCAACATTTATCCGGGCCTTCATCACTTCTTTGTGAATGATTGTGGAGTAAAGGAGAATCCTTCCCTTCTTAGCTACTTTCATGTTTTGCTTCAGTTATCAACTGTAACTGCTACATCGCAGGCAGCTAAAAGAGTGAGTAAATTAAATCTAGGCATCTATACCGATTATATGTTTAAGTTGCATATATATTTTTTTTATTTACGTTGAGGTCCTCGTTCATTTCTCAGGTTTTTCAAGTTTTCTTAGAATGGTCTGATGGACTCGATTCTGGAACATTAAATTTCAAAGATGTTGAATACTTGAAAGCCAGTCTTGAGAGAAAAGAGTCCACGATTCTGCCCACAGCACAAGGCAAATGGGTTTCTCTACATCCTTCCTTCGGCATCGTGTGTTGGTGTAATGATGAGAAGATGGCAAATGAGTTTGAGAGTTTGAACATTATTGACTTTCTTCATTTATGTGAGCTATCTGATGAAGAAAAAGAGGCGACCAATGCAAAGGTGTCTGTCTTCATGCAAAGGATAGGGATCCCTTCCCTTTCAGAGGTACCCTCTCTCTCTCTCTCTACATACATACATATATATAACAACGGGGTCACGCTACCCAACAGGGCCAGATAGTTCGTTGAACAACGGCGAGATTATTCTTTGGCTTACATTCTGATTTCTTCAGTGTGTGCATCTTTTCAGTTATACTTTACACAATTTACGTCAGAAATTGAAGCAGTTTACATTTTCAATAATTTGCTATGTTTTTGCAGCTTATTACTCGTGAAGCAATATGCTATGGCTCAGCTGATAGTAGTTATGAAACTTCATTGGTCAGCTGGGCTCTTCCTTATGCTAAGCGGTACATTTACAACACGTATCCTGATAGGTATTTTCAACTCAAACACTCAGGATTTGAAAACCTGAATCGTCTGCGTACTGTTGTTGTTGAGAAGTTGTTCTTTAGGAAGGTCATAAGGAGATCTAAAATTGCATCTAAGCAGCAATTTGAATGCAACTGTCTTTTACAGGTACATATTCTCATATATCTTATATTATATGCAAGTACAGCTTGGCTTCGTCCGACGATGTTGCTCTGTGTTTGATGAAACCCTGTGTGCACTTTCTTTAATACAGGGTGACATCTTGTACACAACCCCAGAATCCGATGCGCACTCGATATTCGTGGAGCTTTCTTCTTTCCTGCTTGATGGAATTCCTCAACTGCCCTTGGCAAATTTTCTTCACATGATCGCAACTATGAAAGAATCAGGTTCCTCCGATGAGAATATCGAATCTTTTATTTCGAATAGCCAGAAACTGCCTAAACACCCCGGCGAAGAATCGGGTATTCAAATTTTTGAGTATGAACTTCAAATGGGAACTCTAACACCCGCTCTCGGGTCGAGTTCTTCAAAGGTTACAAATAGAGAGAAGCTCCGTTTTGGCAAAGCAAATCCTAGGCGGGCATTTTCGACTGGGAGAAGAGGAGAGCTGTTCGCTTTCAATTATTTATGTTCGAAGAATGGTGAGAAAAAAAGCGTGAAATGGGTGAACGAATTGAAGGAGAGTGGATTGCCGTACGACATTATTGTAGGAGGCGAGGAATACATTGAAGTTAAATCAACCACCTCCAGGAATAAAGACTGGTTTGAAATATCGGTGGGCGAGTGGCAGTTTGCAGTTGAAAAAGGCGAATCTTTCAGCATCGCACATGTTGCTCTAATGGATGAACGTAATAATACGGGGAGGGTCACAATGTACAAAGACCCCGTAAGCTTATGCAGGCTACGCGACCTCCAGTTGGCTGTTTTGATGGCACAGCAGCCATCTATTGATATGCCGTAATTATTATTCTTTTTATTTTTTTTCGATTTTGTGTTTAGTTTTGAGGTGTGTGATTTCTGTTATGCTATGGGTGTTGTGAGTTTTGTATAGTGTATTGATTGCCTCAGGGAATGAGTTGTGAGAGAACTGTTGAAAATTCTGTGGGAGCTTTTGTAAATTGTGTATTATATATGTATGTATATGCAAAATGTACGTGTTTCTTGATTGTTCGTAAACTTGCGCTGTTAGCCGGGCTTTTCGCATTTCCTGCTAGCAATTTACCTTCAATTTGACATTATTGATCATCATGTATTCCAACTTATCAATTCGATTAGTGGGACTGACGTACATGTTCGGATGGAAATTAGATAGATCGGATCCGGAAAACATATTTTTCGGAAATTAACAATCTGGTGCAATTTTAATTTTTCCAAGAAAAAAATTAAACAATTGAAGGAGAAAAACCGTGTCGTCGCTATCTTTATGCAGCCAATAACTGTTACGCAAAAGCCTATCGGCTATCCGCCACCACTTTGGTGCCAAATTCCGCCGGCGATGTAATTATGAACACTATACACCAACCCGAAGGGTAAGCTCGTTTAGAAGTACTCTTGTGTGTGTACGTGAGAGAATGGAAAGCATAAAACGATATGATTTGAAACGACGAAAACAACTGAGCAGAAACGCATAATCGTCTTCTCTATTTATAAGTCGAATATCTCAATTTACGTTGTTCAATATCTATTGACTATTATACTCAACTTTCACACTTATTCATGCTGACTAGGGGTGAGTTCGGAACGAGATTTCGGGAATTCGGGATTTTCGGGATTCGGGATAGAAATTTTAAATCCCAATCTCATCCCAAATTATTAAATCCCGATTATATCGGTATCCCTAAATATTTTGGGAATCGGGATTGGGATCGGGAAATCCCATATTTTGCCTAAAAACTAAGAAATATTGCATCTTTTTTCTATTAGTATTATTTTATACCCTAAATCAACTTGAATATATTATATATATACTATTGTTCTTGCCTTATTTATTTTTACCACAAAACTTGGAACAAATAAAATTTTAAAAATTTAAAAATAAGTTGAAACAATATATTTTATATTGTATTTCTCAACTCCTTGACAATATATATATATATATATATATATATATATATATATATATATATATATATTAGTTTTTTTTTCTTCTTTTTTTCCTAATTTGGGATTAAAATATCCCGATCGGGATTGAACCAATTCCCTAATACCGATCCCGTATTTGTTCATAATCCCAATCCCGAATCCCGTAATCCCGAATTCCCGAAATTTTAATCCCAAATAGTAAAATTCCGATCGGGACGGGACGGGATCCCGAATCCCGATCCCAAATGCCCAGCCCTAATGCTGACACACACTCCAATACAGCTTTCACACGCGAGCTCACACTTCTCTCACACACACATATAGCACATACACACACTCGCACACACTTTGACACAACACAAATACACACATAGACACACACTTCAACACACTTTTTAAGTGCGGGCGCGCACACACACAATTCCTTTGACACACATATACACACTCATAGCACTTTTGACACACACTCATACATACACTCCAACACACTTTTCACCCACACTTTTTGCAGACACATTCACACACACTTTTGACACATACATATACACATATACAATAATTACAGAATAGTATTTTAGACATACTATTTTTTTTTTTAAAATAATTTTTATTTTGCTTCCTAATTGTTTGATCAAAATTCAAACATGATTTTATATTACTTATGTTAGTTACTTATTACCATATAATTTGAAATATACAAATATATTGCCTACCTATCATTATTTTACTAGTAAATTAACATTATGTGAAAAACCAATAAAATTTGGATATTTGTGAGTCAACAATATTAAAAGTCTTCAATCTTTTTTTTTTTTTTTTTTATCAAGGCCTATGTAAAAAATTGAAATTAAAAAATTGAAAATTAAATTAGTACTAATATCCCCAAAGACTTCCGTCACAGCTAGTTTGACCGTCGGTCAACGTCCACTATTGGGCCCCACCTCTATTTCCTTTTCCCGCTCCTCCCAACGTTCAGTTGTGAGTTGCCAGTACCCCCTTTCTCTCTCTAGAAAAAAAATGTACGGACACACTTGGCGACCCCAGCGCGGCGGCGTTCGCGGCGGCGGTGGTTGGGGATCGGAGTCGGCGCGAGCTCTAGAGAGAATCGAGCGGGCGGTGGTGAAATCTCAGACCGATATTCTGGCGAAGGGGGAAAACGTGTCGGCTTGGAAAGTGTCGCAGGCGGCGCTGTTGACTCTTCAAGCCTATTCGTGGGACTCTCTGGGGTTTCCGATGCAGCAAGTTCCGTCGCTCTTCAGAATTATGGTCATCGAAGGAAAGGTTGATAAAAAAAAAATGAATTAATTGTTAATTATTACTCAGCCCTCGTTTAATTATTTTATGTATTTACTTTTTCATGTTTTGATAGAGAAAATTACTGAATTAATTGTTAATTATTACTCAGCAATCGTTTAATTATTTTATGTATTTACTTCATGTTTTGATAGAGAAAATTACTTTGTACGGAAGTTAATTTACTTTAAAAAAAAAATTCTAGTGTATGATTAAATTTTATTTGTTTCAAGTTGAGCTTTGATTTATGAAGTGTTAATAGATAGTGGAATGTTTCTTGGGAGAGTACCGTAAAGTGTTCTGTTCGATGCGGTTTTTTTTGAATTTATAGTGTTTCGTTTTGTTTTCTCTAGGTTAATTCATTTATCCATTGCTTTGTTGGGGTTCAACGAATTACAACGTTGTACGATTTGGAGGTGGCAATCTGTGATAGCGAGGGTGTTCGGCGGTTTGAAGAACTAGAGTTGGGGCCTTTGTTGCAGCATCCTCTAGTCCAGCATTACTTTTCTGTTGGATCTGATGTCGCAGAAGTATTCAAGATAACAACCCAAGAAGTTATTTCGTACCTCGGTTTACTCATTTGGAGAAATAAAAACATAACTCCTGATGATTTATTGGATTTTATTTCCAAGAGGAAGAAGCAAGTAAAAGAAACCCTCTGTCTACGCATCCAGAGTTTAGGGTATGCATATTATTTTCCGATTGTACTATTATTTTCTTTTCTGGAGGTCGATTTCATGAAGCAAAGGCATTACAGCGAGGATTCACTCATCAAGTCATTTTATGATCTCACCAAAGGCTATTAAAATTGAAGTAATTGGGAATTTATAGAATATAGGCTATAGTAATTACTAAAACGGCCTACATTGATCACGAACATTTATTGAGCATGCTTTTGAGGTTGCTTTAAGTCTCGACTAATATCTACATGAGCAAGAGTTAAGATTCTTCGGTCATGATTCTTAAAAGGAAGTTGCACAAACTTTAAACGAGACAGCATAGAAGCTAAAAATATCGAATTTAACTCAAACAAGTAACCCATGCCACCCGTGTGGAATGCTTGACAATTGACAAGAAGAATAGCGGCTATGAATGAAGGAACATCCGAACATATTTTTTTGTATACCTGCACTTGATATTGTTTGTTAATTGTCATATTGTTCTATATGCACCTACACTTTATGACTTTCCTAATGTGTTGCACTAACTGAATATGGAACCGAGTCTTTAATACTCACTAATAAATTATTGACCATCTATAGGAGTTTAATCCTATCTGCTAAATTTTCTTAAGAAGATTCTAAGTTCATATTCTGAAATGATGTTTTGTTTTTCCAGTATCCTCCTCTCCTTGTTCTGTTTATATCATGACATAAATTTGAAGCTTAGCCGAAGGTTCTTTTTGCCTGAAGTAATTGAATCTTTATCTAACAGGATGCATATCAGACATATCATGAATGTTAGACGATCTGAAAAAGCCTCAATTATGAAATGTCTTGACGGATTGGAAGTGAAATATGAGAACAAAGATTTTGTCCATGACGAAGATGGGGATGACGATGAACATGAAGACAGTATGGATGTGCGGAGTTCTGGCAAGACCTCACCGGAGAATCTGAATATGGATAAAAACAATGTACAATGTTCTGGTCTAATAACAGCTGAAGAAAATGCATGGGTCGGTTCTTTATCTTCTCGTGGCAGCATTAGTACCAATGACAATAATGCGACAGCAAAAAAACCTGAAAGTTTAAGGTTCACCATCGCATCATTCCACGAGACACCTATAACAATGCCTGATGGAAGCAGGGTTCTACCTGGATTTTTTTGTGAGAATATGGACTCAGGGTTCAGATATAAGAAGGAAGTTGATGGTTTTACGAGAATGTTCATAAAGATCTGGACAGATACATGTAGGGACAAGAATGTTGATGAGGTACATTGACTCTCTTTATATTAAGCAGCAATTGTGTTTATGACACCATCTATTGATCTATAATCTTTGACATACATTAGATTCTATTCTCCTCTGTAAATGTGTCGTTCTAGTACTTATTATCGTTAAAGCTAAATCGATAGTCATAATCTTTCCTCTAATGCTACTAACATTAAAGCATTCTTAGGAACAATGGTTGGGGGAGGCGGACCAGAGTGAGGAGAGGATAGAAACTGAGTAAAAAGAATATACAAAATGGCTAGAACTTGCTATATTCTGAAGGTTCTTCATCTTCGGAAGTTTCTGGCGTGATTTATTTCCTTAGCTTGGCTTCTTACTCTTTGTTATTGCCGCATTTGCTCAGTAACAATTGCCCTGTTACAGAAGCATGTAATGTTCCTTTTATTAAATACATGCCCCTGAGACAAACTCTCACTCCTAACAGTTGCACAGTGGCATCCTGTTCTTACTTTAGCAAACACCAAAGCTGTCTTAATAGATAATGTTTGCCTTGCAGTTTGTAGCTCTTCCAAGTATCTCGATTCACATTTGCAAATTTATCTCTAATTACTAAACTTAGGTATTTTAGAAATTTTCTTCTAGATAACGGAATATAAACATTTGCCTATTTTTTCCCCTTATGCGATCATACTTGAACTTGATTAATTCTAGAACAATGTTTGATATTACGAGTTTATCTTGCACCATGGGTCAGTTAACCCATTCTTATTTTATATATTTAGCTTTCTGAAGTGAAATCCCTTCTTTATTCCCATATACATGTGCATTACATGCGCTCACAACTATTAGAGAAGTGTGGTTGGCCAGGTTGTTGCATTATGTTGTTAGTTTGTTTGAAATCAAATCACTAGCATTAAATTTTATTGCTGAAGCGAATTCATAAATCCAACTTGTCATTCTTGTGCATGTTAGCTCTTTTAAGATCACTGTCTTCTTTATTTTCTGAATCTTTGCATGGTAAAAGATCTTGCTCTAGAGTACAATAATCTTTATTTGTCTTACTGCGGAAGTGGTTGTTCTTCATTTACATATATACGTGATAGCTCTCTATCTCTGTCCTGCTGCATCTGATGCGAATCTCAACTGATTTTACTTGAACTCTAGGTTTTCGAGGAGATGGTTGATTATTATTCGAAGAAGAAGAAGAAGAATACGAAGAAAAAGAGGGGGAATTCAAAGTTTTCAAAGTACCCATACGTTGGATTGCTAAATGTTGCTGTGAGTTTGTCTGAAGTTTCTAATTCATACTCGTTTCATTGAATATTGTTAATGCTTCCTTAAATGCGCGTAGGAGCAAAACTTTCTATAATAGTTAGTGTTTTGCCTGGAAATTATTGTCAACGATATCTTTTTATATGTTTAGGGTATTTCCCTTTATCATTTACCAGACCCGTTTTTCTTTTTCGATACTCAAAGTTATAATCTCGGATTTATCTTTTCAACAATTTTAAACCAAATACGTGTTTGATCACCCCATATTTTGCTGATCATAAGAATGAGAGCATAAAATAGTTCTGAAAATGCAAAACAGACCCACAAAGTCTAAGGAAATCTCTGACTGGAATCCTGCAGTATCAAAGTACAAGGCCAAACTGACACCTCCAGTGAGGTGATCTTGATATTTAGGAGTTATTGCTTTCTAGGGAGTATATTCACTTTAGTCACTTTTGTGTTCTTAGCTTTTCCCTTTACAACCCTTTATTTTCCTGATACCTCAAGAGTTTGATGAGCAGAGGGGGCACTTAGGGCATGTTTGATAAGCTCTGAATGGGCTCTGAATTACGCTAATCTCTTATTCGGTCAGTGCTCACCTTATTAAGTGTGTTTGGTGTGTGCATCTGAACAAAGTGGTTAAGTGCTTACCGAATCAGTCCAAAACATTTGGCTGAATTATCTAGAGGTAAAGCTCAACAGCATATAGACCAATTTATCCCTACAAAAACATATAATATTATATTATCTACGAAGGAAGAAGAAAACCACTGACTTATTTTTTTATACTTTATTTTGAATAAGCATTTACTTTTATTTTCAAATTTTATATATACTAAAATTAGTATGTGTGGTTTGGGCCTTGGGATTCTGTTCTCAATGTAATTTACTAATTTTTTTTTTATCTTCAACTAATTTTAATTTTAGTACATGACTACCTATTATGTTTGATAAAAATGGATGGTTCCTTCATTGTTATGCATTTTTCTCCTTAAAACTTCTTATTCTATTTCATAATTTAATTTTCTCACCTTTTTTAGTCGACTAGGTATTTTAGTGAAAATTTAAAATGTAATTTTTACTTTTATATATTTGAGAAAAAAAAATTAGATTTACAATATTTATTTTTATCAAAAGAAATATAAAAAATAACAATTGAAAAGGTTGAAGTTATAACTTTCTATCTATATATAATTGATAGTTTTATTGGTAAATAAATTATATTCAACTATTACGAGGGTTAATATAGTAAAATTATATCATTTAGAAAAGATATATTTTGAAGTATCAAACAAACTTAAACATTTAGCATTCAGCATTCGAATACTGATCCTAATCATTCAGTACTGTATTTCAGCATTCAGTGTTCAACGCTTAATTCTGTCAAACAAAGCCTTAGAGACTTTCCATGGTGGGGGTTCGGGATGAGATCAGAAACTATTTTTTCCGTTTGGTTGGGGTTGTATGCTGCTTTTTGTTTTTTTGGTTTGTTCGGTTTGGATGTAAGTTGCATTTTTTGCTGCAGATTGCATCTATTAAGTTTGGGATGTGGAATAGTACATCTGAAGCTTCTCAAGCTTCCAGCCGACAAGGGGTAGAAAACACAACTCCAGAGAATCATGCAGGTTATGCAATACAAGAGGTTGAGGCTGCTAAGCACACCTCTCTGGGTCAGAATGGTGAGTTACATCATACATATAGTCAATAATTATACAACGCTGACTGTGTGGTAGTTTGCTAGTTCCTTTGTGGATTAATGTGCTTTTATGCAGCTCCGCAACCCCCACTCTCTTAACATATATAACGCATTTTTCTTACATATATACCTGCATATCAGTTGGTATACTGGAATTACATTAATTCTTCCTTGAAGTTTGGGGTACATGTTTGAGGTTATTGTTTTCTATTAATGTATCTGAGTTAATACCCATCAATATTTTGTTTTTGTTTGTTACCTAGGTGTTTTTGTGGAAGATATATTGAAGAACATTTCTGCACACTTGGGGACTGTTGATGAGTTCCTAGACAATGAAAATCCTGCTCTTCAAAAGTTGATCTTCTTTAGGAAGCTTTACAAGTGCGAATGTTGGCTAGCTGAACAACTTTCTGTTAAGGACTTTGAATCCCTTGGTTTTGGGGATTTTTGTACGTTTTTAGCCAAACATGTAACCCTATTACCTCATGCATGTCAGAAATACTTATTGACTGATGGCACTAATGGGAAGCCTTCTTTCGAAGCCTGCATGAGCCAACATCATTTGGGTATATTCTTATCACAAGCTTCAGCTAGCTTAAGCGAAAATGAGTGTTTAAGCAAGCAGAAAGTATCTGAGTTTCTTATGATGCAATTCCCTTCAGTCTGTTTTACATTATTGGGAAATGGTTCTGCTCAAAATACTCTGGATATCATGAGAGATAGCAAAACCGGCACAGGCTCCAGCACCGTCTTATTTTCTGCAACTTTAACTGCGCATCATGACGAGAAATGTCTCTCTGATTCTCATCTAACTGCCAAAGATGCCCTTGAAGTCTTATGTAGTGCTCCAATGTTGATAGACTTAAATTCGTGGTCATTTTGGGACTTAAAGTTTGCTCCTTCTCTAGGACCACTAGTAAACTGGTTATTGAACGAGGTCAAGACAAAAGAGCTTCTGTGTTTGATAACTAAAGGTGGGAAAGTTTTGCGTCTTGATCATTCTGCTACTGTGGAGTCATTCTTAGAAGTTTTTGTTAAAGGATCCTCCTTCCAAACAGCAGTGAAGCTTTTGTCATTGCTTGCGCTGTATGGGGGTGAACACAAAGTTCCCACTTCTCTTTTGAAATGCCATGCAGATAAAGCTTTAGAAATCCTTGTTAAGAGTTCTACCGAAGGGAATGTTGGGAAGAAGTATCTTTTCAGTGAGATAACGAAAAGCAAAAGTGAATTTAACAAAGCAATTCCTCTTGTATCAAGATTTATCCTCGAGTGCCTTGGTTATCTTCCTGAGGAATTCCGTACCTTTGCTGCAAATTTATTGCTCCCAGGGTTTCGAGCTATCGCCCCTGATGCTTCTTCAGCAATTTTGGCTGAATGCAAACACAAAGAGGACCGTCTGATGCTTCATGAGTTAGGATCATCACTAGCTATACTTGAGTGGATTGGTGATTGCAGTAACTTCTGTTTGTCCCTATCCAGTGAGTCATCTGATTTTCATGGAGAGAAAGATACATCTTGCAGTTTTACTTGTCCCGAAGATGAAGTTATTCTATCCGTTGACGCGGACAGGCATAATGTAGAATTTAAGCAAGACCAAGCTATGGCCAATAGAGCTGAAGTTTCTGATTGTAGTTCCAGTAGTGACTGCATTCAGCATTTATCTGGGCTACAGAGAGAGAAGGATTCAACAATTGTTATTGAGTCGATTAGGCGTGAAGAATTTGGTCTGGACACAAATCTTTCGGCCTCAGAAAGTAGCATTCTACAGAAGCAACATGCTCGCTTAGGTAGAGCACTCCATTGTCTCTCACAAGAGTTATATTCTCAAGACTCACATTTTCTTCTCGAGCTTGTAAGTTTGCAACTTTTTTTTTTCTTTCTTTGCACATGCTTATGTTCTTCTGCCAGTTTTTATATTTGTTGAGGCGATTGAAAAACTTAAACAACATTACGATGTTCAAATCTCTGTAGGTTCAGAATGCCGATGATAATGTTTACCCAAGAAATGTGGAACCAACTCTGTCTTTCATTCTTCTAGAGGAAGGCATTGTTGTTTTGAATAATGAACAAGGTTTTTCAACTGAGAACATCAGAGCACTTTGTGATGTTGGAAATTCAACAAAGAAGGGATCTAATGCTGGATACATTGGGAAGAAAGGGATCGGCTTTAAATCAGTTTTTCGGGTATAATAAAGATACTTTACCTGACCAGGCCTTTATTTTTCTTGTCTTCTCTTAATTTTCTGTTTAAAGTAAAAGTTGCATCAAAATGTTTTATATACATGACTGGGATCCGATTATTGTACTTAACTTTCAAGTTATTCAGTTTTGAGTTGTAATCATTCTCGTCCTTTTAAACCCCTGTTAGAGAACCTTAAAATTGTCAGTCAGATGCAATTGCTTGAAATATCTTGTTGCATACGATTGTTTTTTTCTTTTTTTTCTTACTCTCAGGCAAATGAAATTTTGCATATACCCGTGTACTGCATCAAAACCCCATAAATATTTAAACGGATTAAATATTCTTGAGTAATTGTCTCATCAATCTAGAGATTCCACTGTTACATTCTTGCAAGTTAATCATATATATGGTTCAAATTGTTTGTTTATTTTCTAACACTTTACTAAGTTATTTGTTATCCCAGTCAGGCTATTCCCCCATATTTATTTAAGTAGCTTTGTTATATTATTATTCTACTTAGTAAATTCCTTTCTTGAATTTCTTATAGGTTACAGATGCTCCAGAAATTCATTCTAATGGATTTCATATCAAGTTTGATAAAAGTGAGGGCGAGATTGGTTTTGTTTTGCCAACAATAGTGCCTGCCTGTGATGTTGACTTGTTTAGCAATCTGGTAACCAAAGATACTGATCAAAATGATAGGCACTTTTGGAATACATGCATTGTACTTCCTTTTAGATCAAAGTTTACAGAAGCTTCTGCCACTGACAACATCGTTTCTATGTTTTCTGATCTTCATCCCTCTTTGCTACTTTTCCTCCATCGCCTTCAATGTATCATGTTCAGAAACATGCTCACAAATTCATGTAACATCATGAGGAAAGAAGTTATTGGAGATGGAATTATAAATATTTCCTTTGGGAAGGAGAAGTTGACGTGGTTCGTGGAATCTCGAAAATTACAAGCTGCGCTCACTCGCCATGATGCTCAAATGACTGAAATCTCGATAGCATTTGCATTGGAGGAATCGACTGATGGGAATTACACTCCGAAGATGGAGCAGCAGTGCGTTTTTGCATTTCTTCCACTACGGACATACGGTCTAAAATTTATCATCCAAGGTGATTTTATACTTCCTTCTTCCAGAGAAGAAGTTGATGGAGATAGCCCATGGAACCAGTGGCTATTATCAGAGTTCCCAAACTTGTTTATTAGTACAGAGAAATCTTTCTGTAGCCTCCCTTGTTTTGAAAATAATCCAGGAAAAGGTGTTTCGGCTTTTATGAGCTTCGTTCCCTTAGTAGGAGAAGTGCATGGGTTTTTTTCTAGTCTCCCTCGGATTATTATATCCAAGTTATGTACATCAAACTGCCTGCTTTTAGAAGGAGACAACAATACATGGGTTCCTCCACACAAGGTTCTTAGAAGCTGGAATGAACAAGTTCGGACTCTTTTGCCGGATAGTTTGATTGCAGAACTCCTTGGCCTTGGATACTTGCATAAGGATATAATTCTATCAGACTCTTTAGCAAGGGCACTTGGAATTGAAGAATATGGACCAAAAATCTTGCTTCAGGTAATTTCTTCCTTGTGCCATACAGATGGAGGCATCAAATCGATGGGCCTCACTTGGTTATCTTCTTTCCTTAGTGCCTTGTATGAAATGTCATTTCAAGATTCCAGGCAAAGTTCTGTAGATTTTGGGACTGACTCTGATGCTATAAATAGGCTCAGGAAAATTCCATTTATTCCTCTTTTGAATGGTAAATATGGGTCGATTAGTGAGGGTACAATTTGGTTGAACATTGATGCAATGAGCAGTAAAATGGATAATGAGTATGGCCTTGAAGCTTTTCCAAATTTGTTTGCCGAACTTCGAATTGTTGACCCCACCCTTTTCAGTTGTTCTATAGTTGGGAACTTATGTCAGATGCTTTACAAAGTTGGTGTCCAACGTTTATCAGCACATGAAATTGTAACAGTACATGTTTTGCCAGCTATTTCTGATGAAAAACTTATCAGCGAGAATAAAGGTTTAATGTGTGAGTACCTTTCGTACATAATGGTTCACTTACAATCAAGTTGCCCAAAGTGTTCTGTTGAGCGGCAGCAGATAATCTCAGAAGTTCACAATAAAGCTCTTATTTTAACAAATCATGGCTACAAACGACTGTCTGAGGTGCCAATCCATTTCAATAAGAAGTTTGGTAATCCCATTGATGTAGAAAAGTTGATAAACGGCATTGACGTGAAATGGTTCGAGGTTGAGATAATTTATTTGAAATATCCAGTTCACAAATCTAGGGGAATGCCGAAGTGGAGGAAATTCTTGAAAGAAGTAGGCGTCACTGATTTTGTGCAAGCATTTCAAGTTGAGAAGACAGTTGTCAATATTTCCCATGTGTCAGAGAAAGAGATGTTTTCTCCAGAGTCAACTATCAAAGATTGGGAATCTCAGGAGTTAGTTCATTTGCTATCTCGAGTATGCTCAAGTGGTGATCGGGAAAGGTGCAAGCATCTTTTGCAGGTTATTGATACACTGTGGGATGATTATTTCAGTGATAAGGTTACTGCTCTTTGCAATATCAAAGGGAAACTCAAACCTTTCAAGTCGTCCTCACTAGTTAGCATCCTAAATGATTTTAAGTGGGTAGCTTCGAGTGTCGATGATGAACTTCACTACCCTGGAGACTTGTTCCATGATTGTGAAGCAGTGCGTTCGATTTTGGGTGATTGTGCACCATATGCTGTTCCAAAGGTTAGATCAATTATCTTATCGATCATCATCTCTTGCACTTTTTTCATATGCCTATGAACAAAATGATCATGATTTTTTTTATTGTTTATTCTTGTTCTTTTGCAATGATGCCATTTCCTTTTAATTATCACAGTTAGTAGCCATTTTAACGTCTACTGTAGTTCTTAACCCTGATATGATGTTAAATGTTGGTGTTCTTCGTCACCGATATCTGTTTATGTTCTCATTACTTTTGCAGTTTCAGACTATAATAGAGGTCGGCATTTCATCCAATTGACAAAGATAATTCAATCTTTTTTTCTTCTGATTGAAACAGGTGCAAAATGAGAAGCTGCCAAATCATATTGGTTTCAAAACTCGTGTTACACTTGGAGACACTTTATCAGTTCTTGAAGTTTGGAGAAGATCTGGAACCCCTTTCAAGGCTAGGTATTGCTTGTCTTCTTTTATCTCAATTGTCCCAATGCTTATTTGTCGGGCGATCTCTGCTTATTGTTATTTTATTTTAGCTTTTTTTTTAATGTTATTATGGCTATTGAGTCTAGAGGTGGAAGTTGAAGCGGAACTTTTCAATTTTGCAGATTCTGATTAAAAAAAAAAAAGAATTATAATTCTGGATAATTTTTGTTATTCCAATTTTCAATTTTTCTGAAAAAAATGAGATAAGAATTGGAAATATATATAATAACCAGAAGTTCTGATTTTCGATCTGATTCTTTTTATTCGAAATTTTCCTATGGTTAGAGTAGATGAATGATATTTAGAAAGAATAGAATTCCCAAAATTTTCACAAAAGTTTCTGAACATTTTTTAATTTAATTTCAGATGTAACATGATTTGTGAAAAAAATTGAAATTTCCAAAAAATACAAAATTTCCAGAATCAGAGTGGCTAATCTGAATTTTTTGAAATTGGAAGCAATTTTCACTTCCCGAAATTAAGTTCTCAAGTTTGATCCATACGATTCCACCCTAACTCAATTCATTTATAGTTAAAGTTTCCCCGATTTTGAGATTGTCCCCCGTCACATTAAAGACGTTTAATTGTTTAGTCACTTGCATGATTCATTAGCATATGATTCTTTTGCAGCATATCACAAATTTCCAACTTCTATACAATCATTTGGAAAGGAATGGCAACTAAAAAGCAGGAAATTGTGGAGAATCTGAGCTCTGGAGCTTTTGTATTTGTTCCATTTTCATCTCCTTCTACTACTGAACAAGTTGTTCCTGGTGTGCTCTTATCCCCTAAAGAAGTGTATTGGCATGACAATACTGGTTCTGTGGACCAAATTAAGATCATCCGTCCTAAGAAAGACTTCGATGCGGTTCATCAGCCTCTAACGAAAATGTTAAGCAATATTTATCCGGACCTTCACGACTTATTTGTGAATGATTGTGGAGTAAATGAGAACCCTTCCCTTCTTGGCTACGTTCAGATTTTGCTTGAGTTATCTACTGTAACCACTCCATCACAAGCAGCTAAAAGCGTGAGTAGATTAAATCCAGACTTCTATGCTTGTTGTATGTTTAATTTGCAGGTATTTGTATTTACACTGAAGTCTTCTTTCATAGGTTTTTCGAGTTTTCTTGGAATGGTCTGATGGACTCAAATCTGGAATATTAAATTCCAGTGATGTTGAGTGCTTGAAAGTCACTCTTGAGAGAAAAGATTCCACGATTCTGCCCACGTCACAAGACAAATGGGTTTCTCTACATTCTTCCTTTGGCATTGTGTGTTGGTGTAATGATGAGGAGATGGCAAATGAGTTTGAGGGTTTGAACATTATTGACTTTCTTCATTTATGTGAGCTATCTGATGATGAAAAAGAGACGATTCATGCAAAGGTATCTGTCGTCATGCAAAGGCTAGGGATCCCTTCCCTTTCAGAGGTACCCTCTCTCTCTCTCTCCCTCTCTCTCTCTATATATATAAAATATGTATGCAATTTCATCACTTAAAGCACTTTGTCTGCAACCATGTATATTTGTGTTAGACAACTAAGGGGTCACTCTAACCGCCACAGTGCCAGATAAGTTAATATACAACATCGAGGTTTACTTTTAATGTCCAATAACTAATTGCGGAGTGAACAATTATTCAATGCCTGTATCTTTTTAGTTATACATGAGATAATTGATGTTGGAAATTGAAGCAGTTTCCATTATTGATAATTGATGTCGGAAATTGAACCAGTTTCCATTATCTCAATATTTGCTATCTTTTTTGCAGCTTATTACTCGCGAAGCAATATGTTATGGTGCAGCAGATAGTAGTTCTAAAACTTCATTGGTCAGCTGGGCTCTTCCTTATGCTCAGCGGTACATTTACAACGCGCATCCTGATAGATATTTTCAACTGAAGCTCTCTGGATTTGAAAACCTGAATCGTCTGCGTATTGTTGTCGTTGAGAAGTTGTTCTTTAGGAAGGTCATAAAGAGATCTAAAATTGCGTCTAAGCAGCGATTTGAATGCAACTGTCTTCTACAGGTATGTATTCTCGTATATCTTATACGCTTGCGGATGTGCAAATTAAACGTGCTTGGGCTTGTAACTCACTTCTTTGTTATTCTTGATGATAATTTCTAAGAACACACGGCATCGTCCAATAGAATTCAATTATATTATCTATCATGTTGCTCTCTGTGTTTAATGAAACCCTTTCTTCACTGGCCTTAATGTAGGGTGACATGTTGTATACAACCCCAGAATCAGATTCACACTCGATATTCATGGAGCTTTCTTCCTTCCTGCTTGAGGGTATTCCTCAACTGCACTTGGCAAATTTTCTTCACATGATCACAACTATGGTAGAATCAGGTTCCTCGAATGAGAAGATCGAAATTTTCATTTCGAATAGCCAGAAGATGCCGAAACTCCCAAGCGAAGAATCAGTCTGGTCACTTCAATCCACGCTCGGCCCCACAGATAATGAAGTCACCCCAACCTCACCCCGTGTTTCAAGAATGACTGATGAGCGAAGAAGCGGGTCGAAATCCAGAAGAAAATCAGGAACCAATCAAAACTGGCCACCTGTCAATTGGACAACCGCTCCTAAGTTGGGTTCCTCCACTGCAAATGTGTCGAACATCCAAACATTACGTTGGCAGCAAAAGGGACATGCTGAAAATACTGCAAAGCAAACAAATGTTAGCTCATCTAGTTGTGAAAGCAATATGGATGCTGTAGAGAGTGAAAACGTTTCTGCCGATGTAGTTACTGAATCTGACGACCCGAATTGTGAATTATCGAACGTTACCATAAGAGAGAAACTATTTTTTGGCATGACAAATGGTCGACAGGCATTTTCGACTGGGAGAAAAGGAGAGATGGTAGCTTTCAAGCATCTCTCTTCGAAAGTTGGTGAGAAAGAAGTCGTAAAATGGGTGAATGAAGTGAAGGAGAGTGGACTGCCATACGACATTGTTGTAGGTGGAGATGAAGAGGGTGGTGGGGAATACATTGAAGTTAAAGCAACGGACTCTACGAAGAAAGACTGGTTTGAAATATCGGTGGGCGAGTGGAAGTTTGCAGTCGAAAAAGGCGAATCTTTTAGTATTGCGCATGTTGCTCTATTGGGTGAAGATAAGGCTAAGATTACTATGTACAGAAATCCAGTAAGATTGTGCAGACTAGGCCAGCTCCAGTTGGCTGTTGTGATGGTACATCAGCAAAAGGATGCATCCATTACCCATGCATAATAAATACACTGATTATGTGTGTTTGGCTGATCTGTAATTATACCGGACGACTATTTATGTTTCAAGTTTTGTACAGTTTATTGCCTCGGGAAAAATGTCGAAGCGTAAAGATTTTGTGGTTGTATATGTAATAATATGTTTATATATAGGTACATGTATATTGATTTCCTTGTTTGTGATGAAGACTTTACATAATGTGTCAGATATCGCATAAAAGCTTTAGACAATGTTATAAATTGAGGAATGTATACTACAAAAGATATTTACCTTTACGAGTAACTGATTATTGTCCGTTTCTTAAGAATTTAGAACTACTTTTCCCTATTAAAAAGTCAAATAAGTAGCACAATTCAGTCCTCTTCCACCATAGGAATTCTAGCAAAACGATTTTGGGAAGTGGGAGTGGCGATTTCCTTGAGAAAAAAATTATACTATGTATGTTGAAAAATATTTCAAACTGTCAAATATCGTACAGGAATCGTCATATTTGGTGCATTTGCAACAACCAATTTTCCTACAGAATGATTGACTACGAGAACATATGTAAGGAAAAGAATACTATAATTGGTAAGAAAATTCGAACAATAATTCTTCTCCATAAAAATAACCAAACAGGTTTGCATTTTGAATTTATTTAATCTTGTTTACCTTTGTCGTAACATTTCTTCCCATATCGTAATTCGAATATAAGAAGTCTTAATCGTCATTAATTCCGAATGCAAAATTGTTATAAGATCAACTCATTTGCAATTAAATAGTTACAGAAACTGAGACAAGAAACAAAACTAGCAGTTTGAAATTTAAGACACAAATATGAAACGTAGCACCTCCTCTCTTCTAAGAGCATATAACATGCACGTGTCATTGAGCATGTTTGCTTCCACTCCTCATCATTTCGTTGTTTTGAAACTCTGCATTAGAGAGAAATATAATGCACGAGCTAAAAAAAATTAATATATATATATATATATATATATATATATATATTAACGAATGAGTATACACACATAGGATAGGGAATTATAACAAGTATGACCAAACAATGAGAAATCAGTGGTTACAACTTACAAGACACGTGATACTATCTAATATTGCACTCTAAAATGATCAAAAGACTTGGTAAAAGCAGCGACGACAATGCATTGTTAGGATATATATACACGGTAAATATATAGTAACACAAAATTCAAAAGTTTTAGAACATTAGCATGATCTTTACAGTAAGTTCTAACCACTAGAAACATATTGAATCTCAATAAACTATCCATTAGTGCTCTTTGATAACGAGTGTCACAATGTAAGTACACAACAATAACCTCGTGTGACCTTTCTAGTAATGTAATTTGGTTAAACAATTCAAATCCATCAATGTGTTTGTCAATTAGTTCAATACAATTCAAAGTAGAGACAGAAGTCAAGAAGAATACATACCCGAACCCTTTTCACTAGCTCCTTAGCTTTGGGATCATTGTTGAAATGATCACGCACCGGCTGCGCATAACAGATACGGCCAAGTAAATAGACATAAAATAGAGGAAAAGGCAAGAATGGAGAAAAGATAAGGCCTCAGGAATTTGATAATTACACGAAGAAGCCCTGACTCTCACTGATAGCCTACTAAATATTATTTGTAAAGAAAAAACAACGACGTGAAGCAATAATAGTAGCACGACAGGATAATCGGATTATCAAAGTAAGATTAACCTGTAGTATCTGATTTATCGCTTTTGCTAGAGCAGGTTTCAGATCCGCAGGGTGGAGTCCCCACTGACATAATCAGCAACTAAATCTTCGAAAGTCTTAAAGGTCCTAAAGGAGAAAGCGATCGATATTATTAGCAAAAAAAAAAAAAAGAAAAAGAAAAAAACTAGCACTAACCTAAATGAATAAAAGTAAAATACATAATCGGAAACCAGGTAAGTAGTATCCGGGCCACGGAAACAAGAAACGACATGAAGTACATAAGAAACACTAAGTCAGCAAGACTTACTTGGCACCTCCATTCTCTGGTTTACGCTCAACTGTGAACTCGTTGAACCATGGGAAAACAATGTACTTCATGTACTCTAAGCATGGATTCTTTTCCACAACCTTTGGAGGGCAGAATGCTTTCTTTATCTTCACATTAACATCAGCCTGTGAGATTAATTTTATCATTAAATCAAACAGTTACAAGAAATATCACAAGTTGAAGAACCATTATATAAATAGTTGCAGGTCATTGCCCTTATGCGAACCAGACAGTACCTCTTCATCCTCCATGTAGATGGAAGATGATGGATCACTCTTCGACATCTTCTCCTGTCCTTCTTGGAGCCCAGGAAGCATATCTGCAGTGAAAATAACAAACCGTAATAGATAAAGTCACTTGAAGAAAATGTAAAAAAAAAAGTGCAGCAATTTTTAAGACAAATAATAGATATGCTTACGATGCGATAATATTATGGGCTTATTTTTTCTTTTGATATCATCGCAGTACTCCCTTGCGAGCATGTTCACTTTGCGTTGGTCCATGCCCAACTGGCAGATGTCAGCCTGTTTGGACACAAAAACACCAACGTAAATTTAACAAATTGAACGGTACTTAATTTCCAATACAATAAATGCATAATGATATTGTCCGGTGCTTATATAAGCAGTCGACTACCTTAAGAAAGAAGATATCAGCACATTGCATGCACGGATAGAAAATTTGGGATGCTGACAGTTCATCTTGGTCGGAACGACCCATAATTTGACAACACCTAGTATTTCCCAGAAACGTGAAGAAAGACGACTTTAATAACCATACATTCATCCTAGGGTAATAAAAAAAAAGGGAGGGAAATTACCTTAGTATCCTAGGAAGATTGTTCCGTATGCCTATGTCCATTACAAGAGGCCAGTACTCATGGGCACGTTTGTTGATCTCTTCGGAAGACCACAGAAACTCTACCTGACCTCCTTCGATATTCATTCCAGCAGCCTTCCATATCTCAATGAAGTACTGTCCTACAACTTGAATTTTCTTAAGGTCACCACCCATTTTCTTGTTTAGCTGTGCAAACCAATCTGCAATCCAGATTTTCGCTTTGCAGCCAGCGGAAGTAAGCTTGTTGACATTGATTACCTTCATCACTCCCTATTAAAAGAGATGGGCAGGCAACAGAGATTATCACAAACATGCATCTAAAAAAATCCTTCTTAATTTCGATCAATTATTTCCAATATTTCTTTGGCCGTGTCTAATCTCTACAATGAAGTGGGAAACAAAAGTATTTATCTTAGAATAAAGCAAATATCCCACACAATGTAAGTTTCCCATGTTTATACATCTAAATGAAAATAACCAAAATGGGTATTCAGGACAGTGATACAAACAATCAGATGATATTCAAATGTAAATCGCCAGCACTTACATAATCAGATACAAGCCAAATCCATATAACAAGATATGTTATTATAAATCCAAGTCGCTTGACCGAGCAAACGAAAGCCTAAATAACAGCTCATATAAATAAAGTACCATTTTATCTAGATCTCCAATCCCCACAATACTAATCAATATGCATTGTTAACACTTCAATTCTATAGCTATGCCTATAAATTTTTTTAACAATGAAAAAAATTGTAGTCCTTCACACGAAAGAAAAAAAACCCAAATTTGAACTCAACCACTTTCGAGTTCAAATTATGAACCACGTCTCCATGAAAAAAATGTGAATTATTTCAAAATTAGTAAAGAGGCAAAAAGGATTAGCATTTGTCATCGATAGTAAAGAGCAGAACCATATGCCCCAAGTTTGATATGAAGCAGCAGTATTAAAATTCCTCGTGTCAAATCAGATTTTTTTAAATCAGGTCAATGTCATTTGCGTTAAAGACTTGCATAGTTAAAAAAAAAAAAAAAAAAAAAAAAAGGAACACTTTTGATATTAGTAGTTGACCCAAATTCCCTTCACCCATATATGTCACATAAATTCACTAAGTTCCAACTAATAAAATAACCAGCTTGTTCCCGATTTCATCGCCTAAATTTCCCCCAAAACACACACACACACACACACACACAAGGATCGCCATAAAGTATACACATTTACTGAATTAAAACTAGCTGATTCTAAAAAAAGAAAAAAGAAAAAAAGGAAACCTGAGCGATGTGCATTCTGCCAGAGGGTTCAAAGCCATCATAGCAAATGGGGTGAGGTTTGTTAGCCAATAGTCTCTCCAACTCATCCTCTTGTATGCACTCCTCCCCGATGCTTCTTATTATCTCGAACCTCTCTCTCACGCTTAACCTTTAATTATTTAAAAAAAAAATACAGTTCAATCCACCAATTCAACATCCACATTTTTTCCCCAAAAATTAAAAGAAAAAAAAATACAGAGGAAACAAAATCGTCACAGAGAGAGAGAGAGAGATTTACTGGTTTTGTTCAGAAATGGAGAGAGACTGTAAGGATTCGGCGGGAGCATTTCCATCACCGGCGCTGCTGCTCGCGTTCGAGTTCTCCATTGTGTAGAAAGCTGAATTAGGGTTTTGAATTTGATGAACGGATAGTTGAATTGCAGAAACTTTGGGTTCAAATGGGGTTTTTAGTTGATATTAAATATTAAATAATAATAATAATATATAAATTTCTCTTTTATATATGTTTAATTTTTTTTTAATTTCTTTTTTGCCATAATATATGTTTAATCAATTAATTAATAGACTCTTAATCATAAAATTGGGCTTTCATTTATTAAGAAATTTGGGCTTGAGCTTTATAATTTTTTTTTATCCATTTATTAAGTTTCTTGGTAATTTATATTGGGAAAAATTCTCATACTGAAATTTAGACCGATTTCACATTTGGTTGTCTATGTTTAGTCTCCTATGTTTCATCAATTTAACACTTTTGGTCATTTTTATCAATTTACCGTTACACCGTCAGTTAAGGCAGCAATTATACATGCTTGATTATGTTACTTCTAACTATAAATTGGTGTAAGAAGATTCATAATAGAGGGGTGAATGTATTTACCCAAATATGAGAGGTTTTTTTCTTAATTTTACCCAAATATAAAATAACTGGAAACTAATATAAATTGGGAAAAATATAGTTTCTACCCTTGCGGTGACAAATTTAGTGAAATATTCTAGGATTATGTGTAAGATTCTCCAGACCCGTTTTACCCATTCGAGCTCACATTTTGAAATAAGATGATCATAAGATGTGTCCATTGGCTTGTAAATATTAGGTTTGTGGTGCATCAAAAACTGCATTTTTGCACAAAACGAGTACAAACTAGAGAATATTCCATGGAATCTAGAAATTATGTTGAATTTGACACCGTAAGGTTCGACGTGTAAGAAGATTCATAAGTGAGTGGGTGGTCTTAATTACCCAAACAAGAGGAGATTTTCGTATTTTAACCTAACCTCATGAGGTGTCCATAATTTACCACATATATATATTTTTTAGGCATTAAAATAATTTCTTGCTTTAGAGTTAATAATTTTTTTTTTCTTAATTTGATTTTGAAATATTTGTCGATTATATCTAGCTGCGTTTTAAGAATTAATATAGCTAAGTAATTAAGATAAATATAATTCAATTGTTAAGGTTATTTCTAGTTTCTACAATTATTATTATATTATGTTTCTTGCAAAAGAATACAATGGCTATAGACAATAGAGGAAAAATACATTTTCACCTCTCTAGTTTGTACCAATTTCAAATTTGGTACTCCATGTTCACATAAAGACACATTTGGTCCCTATATTTCAAAAATTCAACATTTTTAATCCTTTCTGTCAATTTTCTATTAGTACTAATGAAATCAAGCATGTGTCTATCACTGCCTTAACTGACGGATTTAACGGTACAATTGACGAAAATGACCAAATGTTTTAAATTATTAAAACATGAGGACCAAATGTGAAATTAGTTTAAACTTAAGGAGTGAAAACTGTAATTTTCCCGACATTAGATATATAGCTCATTGAGTACAATTTGCATTTTCTTGATTTTGGATATAATATATATTTTCCTTTTTGCTTTATCATTTAATTTTCAAATATAAAATATATTATTGTAATATCACTAGCATATTATTTCTTAAAACATCAAAGTATGAGTGCAAGTAATATATTTCATTACAGTAATCTATGAAATCTAGCTTTAGTAATTCTATGGATTTCCTTAATATGATATTTCATTTTTGACTTAATTCATAAGCATTAATTGAATATTTATTTTTATTTTATTTTTTAAATTTACGGCCGTCGATTTTCACACGGAAAAAAATTTCTATATAAAGAGCCATTTCGCTTGCAATATTTACCATATTCGAAATTTCAAATATTTCAATTTCGTTTCTCCCAAACATGGCACATAAGATTCATGTGTTACTTGTTGAGCATGATGTTAAAGATCTTGATAAAACTATTAACATGTTGAATTACTTCTCTTATGAAGGTATATATATTATCAATTCGAATCTTTGTTTTTGCGTCGCTTTTTAATTAACGAGGTTTTTATGATTCGTTGCATATAGTTATCGATATTTATGATCCGTTTCATATAGTTTATTGCATGTTTTAATTTCTTATTTTATACTAAACATAAAGTTTTGTTCGTGTTCTTTAATTGAGTCCCCGTTTTTAATTTGTAAATGATGATATATATGTACTATTATATCATTGAAGATTTTACTAAAAAGTTTTCGATTTTTCCCTTCTCAGTTACGCACGTGAATCTTGCATCCGCAGCTTTATCGATTTTATCGAAATCGAAAATCAAAATCGATCTCGTCATGATGAATATGAATTCGCCCGATTCATGTGGTTTCCAACTTCTACAAGATGCTACTAAAAGGAACTTGCTTGTGATTCGTGAGTTTATAATTTTCTCGAAATTTTATCGCTTTACGAACACTTGTTTATAAATTTATATTTATTTTATTTATTATAATTAATTGTGCATCAAAATTATATACTTACTCTAATTTTGATTCATTTTATTTTATTTCATTTTATTTTATTTTATTTATAATTAGTGATGTCAAATGACGACGATTGTGAAACGACGACGAGGGCCCTACATCAAGGAGCCTTTCTTCGTATCAAAAAGCCCGTTACAATGCAAATGACGGGGTACCTATGGCAACACGTGCTTAGAGAGAAAACACGTAGACAATTAAGAGAGAAGACTATCGGTTTCAATAGTCAAGATTTTCGAGATCAAGAAGAAGGTAACCAAAACAACTACAAAAATGTTGGAGGAAGAAAGAAAAAAACGAACTCGGGATCGCAAAATGATGACGATATGTTGAATAAGAAGGTTTGGATCGAATGGACCGAGGAGCTTCACTATAAATTTGTCGATGCCGTCATTCAACTCGGAGAAGGAAGTATATTTTTCTCTTCCCTTTAAATTAATTCAACATTATATATAATTTCGCGATCCCAAAAATTAGAGTTAATTACTTATATATACTTCGTCTTTCTTGAAAATTAGGATGCTATCCGAAAGAGATCCTCGAACTAATGAACGAACCGAGACTTACGCGAATGCAAGTGGCAAGTCATCTCCAGGTTCGTGTTGATCAATTAATTAATATTAACATGAAATTAACCGATCGGGCGCAATTTAACTCGGCTAGCTACTCATATATATACAAAATCGAGTCGATACTAACTTTTAGTAGAAATTAGTTATACAATGGATTTAGGGTTTTCTATACGCTTGCGTGATAGTATTAATTAGTTGATACGTAGAAGAATAATTTGAATTTACTCGGTATATTTTCACAATTCTATTTTTTTCTTTTATAATAGAAATGTCGCAAAGCTAATTGGCTACCTCCGGGCGCGAGAAAATCCAAGTCAACTAATATGGAGTCAACACCACCGAAAAACAAAGCCCGAAGGTCGAAAACCGAGAGATTTGGATCAATGCCTTTTATCGACAACGACGAATTCAACCCTAGAAGCCGAAAGTATAATCACGGAGCCAATATCGATCCACCGGTAAAACCTAATCCGAACGAAGCGTATTATTATCCTCAACTTGTTCTTGATGATGAAAATTATTATTCCTTTGCTAATCACCAGAGCAGTGAAGTATTCAACATGGGACGATTTTTTGGCGCGGGAGAACCGTCAATTGCGTACGGTTCCCAAAATGCCCCTCCTAGTGACTTGACCGATGACACCTTTGATGTTTCGGACACGGATTCCATGGTCCAAATCCTATCGGAGTTCGATCAAGATTTAGAAATGGATCACAAGCTTAACGAGGTTAATTATATTATTCGTTTTAAGACATTATTTTTCATTTACTATAACACTTTTTTTTAATTGTTTATTTATTTGTATCTCAATATATATTTGCAGATGACTACTGTGACTAATGCAACTAGTGACTGGAGCCAGGAAGAAGAAGAATCGGTGAACGACGAAGAAATTGAAGGCTAAATCGGGGAGGGATAATATTCGGATTGCGCGTTTAATTACTTTAATTTACTAGTAATAATAATAATAATATTGGATTGATTATATATTATGTAGTAAGCTTAATTATGTAAGAAGGAATTAATTATCCTCATGCTATCTTATCTAATATAATTCATGCAATTTATAAATTTGAACTATTTATAGTACAAGTAATTTGCCCGATCGAGCATGCAATTCGTATTTGTAAATGAAATAATCGAAGGACGATGAAGGAATTTTAGTCGATAATAAAACTTTATCTCAAATGGCTGAAGAATAAGCAGTGGCAACCAACATACGGCTAGGGGGGTCATCGCCCCCGTGATTTTTTAAATAATCCCTACTATTATGAAATGAATTAAATAAATTTACTTTTATTCTATTTTAATGGTTTAAAATATGTTTAGGTCATTTCTCGAACGGCCGTCCGAAGCTTGTTGATGTTTTTCGGCCGGTTTTTCCATTCTCACTCGTTTTTGACCATTTTGCCCTCCAAATGTCCGATTCTTTAACTTGCAACTAAAACACAATAACCAAGTCTTTAAACACCGTTTAGTCAATAAAATCCGATTAAATTCCTCGTAAGAGAATATAAATCGAGTGTGAAACCTACACTCAACGCCTCGTGTAGACTACTACTCTTATGTTCAATAAAAAAATCACTATCGATCCACCGATAGAATCGAATATGCATGGAAATTCCAATTCGAACGAAGGGTATAATCGTCAACTTGTTCTCGATCATGATCGCAATTACCCTTTTACGCAGGACAATGAAATAACATTATTCAACATGGGACAAACATTTGGCGTTGACCATAATTTGACTTATGGTGCAAATCTTGTCTACATTGGAACAAGAAATATAGGAATGAACTACAATGGAAGCTTGCAATCACTTGTCTTTGTGAAGATGCGAACATTAACCAAGTATCGATTATAATATTCGCTTCTTACGTATATATTGGAGTACTTTTAAAACATTGTTTTTGGGTTATGTAAGTTTTTTAGGAAAACATATTGTTTTCATCCCTGAAGTTTGCACATATTTCACATTTGGTCCCCATGTTCACAAAAAATACATTTGGTCCCTTATGTTTAAAAAAATCAACACTTTTAGTCCTTTCCGTCAATCTCCCGTTAAAACTAACGGAATCAAGTGTGTGCCCATTACTGCCTTGCCTAACGGACTAACGGTAAGTTGACGGAAATGACCAAAAGTGTTAAATTATTAGAACATGAGGGACCAAATGTGCTTTTCTGTGAACTTGGGGACCAAATGTGAAATCGGTACAAACTTGAGGGATGAAAACTGTAATTTCCCCAAGTTTTTTACTAAGTTTTTGTCTCGATTTTATTAGATGCTTACTGGCACGAATGCAATTAGCGAGTGCAGTCAAGAGAACCAAACTCAGTGAACGACGAAGAACTCGAAGGCTAGATGGTGGGGGTTGGGTGTGGAGGACCATAATGTATGTTTAATTTCTTTTCGAGTAAAAACAATAAATAATTGGAAAAATACTGTTTCAATCCCTCAAGTTTGCATTGATTTCACATTTGGTCTTCCATGTTCACAAAAAAACATCAATTGCATTTTTGTCCCTCATGTTCAGAAATTCAACATTTTTAATACTAAGGGAATCAAGCGTGTGTTTGTCCATCAATGTCTTAGCTGACGGACTAACGGCATATTGACGGAAAGGGCCGTAAGTGTTAAGATATTGAAACCTGAGGGACCAAAAGTGTTTTTTGTGAATATGGGGACCGAATATGAAATCAGTGCAAACTTGAGGGATTAAAACTGTAATTTTTCCTAATAATAATAATTAATAATAATAATTAATAATAATAATTAATAATAATATTGGATTAAGAATGAAATAGTAACTTTAAGATGTCAACTTATATTATTATATAAGTTAAAAATTTGATTTTTCTATCAATTCAAAGATTTCACCAATATTGATTCTGTAAGTACGAGGGCTAGTTTGGAATAAAATCACAAAGATTTTGAATCACGTTATCTCTGCAGCCACCAACTCATACTTAGCAAAAAAATAAATAAAATACAAGCAAATCTTCGTGAAAAATAGTGCCATTTCTTTCTTAATTATATTATTTGGAATAATCAAATCCTCACATAATATTCCATTATGTTTTCAGTATATTATATTCCATATATTTTTTTAATAGTGAAGATACAAATCCGAGGAAATTCTCTCCCAATTTTATAGAATATTTTAAATACAATATTTTCAAATCTTCTCTATAAATTAGTCATTTTGATTTTGTAACTAAATATATAATTTTGTTTTTATTTTTTTTACTATTTGAACTCGGTTATTTATTATATATGATATAATTTAAATATTTTTATAAATTTATCAATACCACTTAATGACTATTTTAAAAAGTGATATTAAAGAAAATATAATACCACATTAATTTTAATTACTATTTTAAAATTTGTTCGATCAAGAAAACAATATCTCCAATAAAAATGACCGATTTTACCCCCCTTGACTATGGAAACACTTTCAAGTTTCGATTCATATATACAATTCACTCGTTAAGTAAATGATTTTAATTACACGAAACTCAATCTGGAACGAAATTTTCATAAAATGATATATGTGTGCGCGCGCGCGCATGAGAAATTGAGAATACTAACTTTAAGCATATACTCCATATTATATATCTTAACAGTGTAGTTAAATAAAGTACATATATAGTACCATTTGGCCATGTCACATTTTTCTATTATTAGATCCAAAGTACAAATTTAAAAAATTAAATTCAAGAGAAGCATATATAATTAGAAAGTACATTTGTACAATTATTGAAATATCAACATAGGAGATTAATTGTGATCTTATGATATCTGGTGGGATCTTTATTAATCTTTCCAAACTGTCCAAATATCTTCTGGATTTCTTCAAACCCTAATATATATATATATATATATATATATATATATATATATATATATATATATATACACATACATACATACATACAACATTGCATTCAACGTCCATTCTTGATTTCTCTCAACACTCAAATTTAAATTTAAATTCAAATTTGTCACAATCAAGCAATGAATGGAATTATAACAAACGCGGAGACGACGACGATGCAGTTCCACGTGTTAGCTGTCGACGACAGTGTAATCGATAGAAAGTTGATCGAGAGGCTTCTCAAAACTTCTTCTTATCAAGGTACATTATAATTTGTATATTTTCCACAAATTTCATAATTAATATCTTTTTTTTAAATAGTGAAATTATTTTCTTTAAATTATTTTTTTATTTATTATTATTTTATTTATGGTGTGTTTTGCAGTTACTGTTGTGGATTCTGGTGTGAAGGCTCTAGAGTATTTAGGGTTAGTGGATGATGAAATTGCAAATACAAACACAGATTCAAACCCTATTTCTACCATCAAGAATCATCATGTATATTTCTATTTAAACCCTAATTAGTTATATTATCTCAGTTATTTTTATTATAATTGTAAGCGCAAATTACGGCCAACCATCTAAGGTATGGTGAAATTACAAAACCCCCTCCTGTTTGGGGGATTTACAATGACACCCCTCAACTATGTAATGTCTACTAAATGAGGGATTTTTTTCGTAAGAAAAAATACATAGTTGAGGGGGTAATTGTAATTATCCAAACAAGAAGGATTTTTTTGTAATTTGGTCTTACCTCAGGGAGTGACTGTAATTTTCCGTAATTGTAATTACTTAACAATTTTTTTTCACATGCAGGAAGTGGAAGTGAACTTGATTATCACCGATTACTGCATGCCGGGAATAAACGGTTACGATCTTCTCCGAAAAATTAAGGTATAGTTAGGATTCTTTACAGCAACCATTTTAATTTTGTTAATTTATTTATTTTCTTTTGTGCAAAAAATTGGCAAATTTATTTTTTGCAATTAACTTTTTTCCAGGAATCGACAACATTAAAGAATATTCCGGTAGTAATAATGTCGTCGGAGAATATTCCGTCGAGGATAAACAATTGTTTGGAGCAAGGAGCAGAAGAATTCTTCCTAAAACCAGTTAAACAATCTGATGTGAATAAACTTAAGCCACATTTAATGAGAGGAAAGGGGAAAGAAAATCAGCCTAATTTTGTTGTTAACAAGAGAAAACCAATGGCAGAATGCCTCTCACCTGATAGAATAAGAACAAAATACAATTATATATAGCTATTATATATATTTATCTGTATTGCAATTTTAATAATATTATTGTAGTTTATATTTAATTTATCTTTTTTATGAATTATTTCATGATGGGTGTAATTTTATATATTTTTTTTTATGTTAATGAATATTTATATTCTATAGTTTTTTTGAGTTTTGGGGGTAAGATATGTTACAAGCTTTTTTGGAGGGCAATATAATTAATTTTTAGGGCAATTACGACAACCCTTGAGGTATGGTCTAATTACAAAAACCCCTCATGTTTGCATAATTACAAGTACCCCATCAATTATGTATTATCTTACGAAAAAATCTTTGTAGTTGATAAATTTAGGAGCGCTCATTTGGTAAAATTGTACATAAATTGTTGTACGCCAAAATTTCTATCGTTTAGCGTTTGGTTCGACAAATAACCGAATTACCAAAATTTTACTAGAAATATTTTGTTTTAATCAATTTTAGTTTAAATACGAATATTACATACATAAATATATAGGTAAATTACACCTACACCCCTGAGGTATGCTAAAATAACTTTCATGCGGTATCGTTAATTACAGTCACCCTCTGAAACAATGTTAGAAACTCTAATGGGATACGTTATCCGATACAGTTCTAACGGACTATTAGTTTCACGAAGTAATGGAGACAACATAGAGTTAGATGGTGACATGGTTCCCCTAACATTTCTTTAATCACCCCTTAGCTCTATGTTATCTCCACCACTTCCTGAAATTAATACTCCGTTAGAACCCTTACGTGATAACCTATCCAATGAATTATCGCATTAGAGTTTCTGACAATGTTTCAAGGGGTGATTGTAATTATCGATACCACGGGGGCCTTAAAGTTATTTTAGCATACCTCATGTGTGTAGGTGTGATTTACCCTAAATATAAATATAAGATAAGGTTAATTACACATACACCCCTGAGGTATGCTTGAATAACTTTAAGGTCCCTGTGGTATCAATAATTACACTCACGCCCCTGAAACATAGTTCGAAACTCTAATGAGATAATGCATTGTATACATCATTCCGATATAGTTCTAACGGACTATTACTTTTAGCTAGTGGTGGAGACGACATAGAGGCGTAAGTAAATAATAAATAAAAATAAGGGTTTACAACCACCCCTGAGGTATGATAAAATTATGAAAAACTCCCTCTTGTTTGGGTAATTGCAACAATCCCCCTCAACTATAAAATTTCTTACACGTCCACCCTTGTGGTTTCAAATTCAGTGGAATCTTCTTGATTATATGGAATATTATCACTTTTGTACCCGTTTTATCCATTCGAGATCCACATTATGAAGCACGATAATCATAAGATGTGTTTTTTGACTTGTATATATCAGATTGTGGTGCATCAGAAATTGTATTTTTACACAAAACGAGTACAAACTAGAGCACATTCCACGATATCTAGATGGTTATGTTGAATTTGACACCATAAGGGTGGAAGTGTAAGAAGATTCATAGTTGAGGAGCAGATGTAATTATCCAAACAATAGGGTTTTTGTTGTAGTTTGACCGTACACCATGGGTACTGGTTGTATTTAACCTAAAAATAAAATAAATAAAATATAATTTAGGGCAAATTACGGCCAACCCCCTGAGTTATGGTCAAATTACGAAAACCCCCCTCCTGTTTGGGTAATTACAGCCACCCCCCTCAACTATGTATTATCTTATGAAAAGACCCCTCCAGAGGTAAATTTAGGGATGTTTATTCGGTCAAACCGAATCGAAATTTCAGTACGCCAACATTTCATACCGTTTACCGAACTAAATATACGATTTAGTTCGGTAAATAACCGAACTACATAATTTTATTAAAAGGGATCCTCTAAGTCACCATCAGCAGCAGCTGTTCGTTTCTGTCCTATTTTTTTACGTCCTGTAGTTTTTT